GGAGGGGAGGGGAGAAGGATTGACAGCTGGGCGGGATGACAGGGTGAAACGAGAGCGGAACTCGTTAAGACTGCATATTCGGGGGGAAGTGAGATCACGAACACACACACACACACAAGCCGCCAGCGAATGGGGACGGGAAGCTTTCTAAGAAGGACAAGGAGAAGGCATTGCAGAATGGGCTAGTAGAATGGGGACTAACCAACTCGGACCACCTGTCAAGTCAGAGTAGTAGTAGTAGTGAGGGAGCAGTTGATGAAGAGAGCAGCAGTTTGGTTTGCTTATCTATCCGTGGCATAAGGACTAACGACAAACCCCCCGACCTGTCCGTTCCATCTTATTAGGGATGGACGGGTTAGTCAGTGCTAGTGGTGGGGTCAAGGACAACTAAGAGGCCCCGCTAGTCCGACTCCGAAAGTTTATTTGACCTGACGGATTGCCATGATTGGCTGCTTGTCAGCTCAGGCTCCGGGAAAAGTGTCTCCGCCGGCGCTTATTGGGTGCGGAACGAAGCCCTCTGCCCTTGGAAGGGATCCGCTTCTGGAGGCCAGGTTGGGCCGGTGTGGGCTCGAGGACCTTTGCCCGCAACCAGTCTAGTCCCGGTGGGGTTGGCATGGCGTTCCGTGCGCAACTCCCACGCTGCTGACCTAAGCAGACTAATTCTGCCCCTTTGGGAAGGTCTGTCACAGTCCTGAACAAAAGCACTTTACGCGTCGGTATTCCGCAATAACTATTCCGCCGACGCGTTCGTGTTGCATTCGCGTCCCATTGCAAAAGCTCGAACAAAAAAAGAAGCGAAACCGCAGCAACCAAAACATCAAACGCTGCCTGCCTGCCTTTTGGTCAATTATTCTCTCAAACCCCACTACCTCTATAACCACCTTTCCTCTTTCTTCCTTATTTTCTTTTCTTCTTTAAGGCAGGCCCTAGGGACCCGTTCACGTTTAATTCATTAGTCTACACATATATTGAAGTCGCACCCCTCACCCTTTTTAGCGGCCTCCCTTTGGCCCTCCGCCTGACCACCATGTCTTCCCTTTTTGACGCCGTCCTGCAATCCGAGTTGGGCTCCACGGCGGGCTCTCGCGACCATCGTCTTCACTCCGATCAGATTCCCAGCTCACGACCCCAACCGCCTTCTGAAAGCAATGGCCCCATGAGTGACATGCATGGCTTTGCCGACGACCAAGTCGCCGATTCCAGTGCCTCGACCGTTACCCGACTACGCAATCCTTATCTTCCCGGACCGCCCCCGGTAAGCGATGTGGCAGGCGAGAAGGTGCAGCAGGCTTTCGCAGAGCTCCTCGAGACCTACCAGGAAGAGACACCTTCGTCGGCACAGGCGGCGCCATCGTCACAAGTCTTGAGTGAGAAATACTACATCGCCCAGATCATGGGCATGGCGAAATGGGAGCTGTCCACCCTTTACGTCGATTTTACCCACTTGACCTCTATGAGCAACCCCATTCTTGCCGATGCCATTGCCAACCAATACTACCGATTCCAACCTTTCTTGACCAAGGCTCTTCATGACCTTATCGCCAAGTATGAACCAGAGTACTTCGCCTCTCACCGTCAAGCTACGGCCGCAGGCAGTGTTTCTTCCCAGGCCGGCACTTCGATGATCGCTGGCAACTCCAGTGTATCCGACAACCCTGAATTGGAGCGCAATATCCGCGAGAAGACCAGGCATCAGCAGACGGATAAGCTGTTCTCTTTGGCCTTCTACAACCTGCCCCTTGTTTCCAGACTGCGCCAGCTGCGCACATCCCAGATTGGAAAATTGGTCTCGGTGTCTGGTACGGTCACGCGGACGTCTGAAATTCGCCCAGAACTGTCACTGGGAACCTTCATTTGCGAGGAGTGCAAGGCCGTCGTGACCAACGTGGAACAGACCTTCCGTTACACTGAGCCCTCCCAATGTCCGAACAACACCTGCGGTAACCGCTCCGGCTGGCGCTTGGACATTGGCAAGAGTACCTTCGTGGATTGGCAAAAGGTGAAACTGCAGGAATCTTCTCACGAGATTCCAACCGGCAGTATGCCACGGACAATGGATGTCATCCTTCGCGGTGAGATGGTTGATCGCGCTAAGGCTGGTGAGCGGTGTATCTTCACAGGTACCTTGATCGTGGTACCCGATGTCAGTCAGCTTGGACTTCCTGGCGTGCGGCCGGAGGCAGTTCGTGATGATGGTGCATTCCGGGGAAGTGATATTGGAGGCGGTGGTGTTACTGGGTTGAAGGCGCTCGGTATCAAAGATTTGACCTATCGACTCGCCTTCCTTTCTTGCATGGTTACTCCCGACACCACGACGCCGGGTCAGCAGTCCAACCAGCAGCTGAATGGACAATCGCACAACATCTTGGCTTCGCTCAACCAAAATCGGGATCCTGAATCCAACGAAGACCAGGCCCAAGAAGCTCTGCTTCAGAGCCTAACACCCTACGAGGTTCAAGACTTGAAGAATCTCGTTCACTCTGAGTACATCTACTCGCGGTTGATTGACTCGATCGCTCCCATGATTTACGGTCATCGGCAGATCAAGAAGGGTCTGCTGCTGCAGCTGATTGGCGGTGTCGGCAAGTCCACGGAGCAAGAGAGCCTCCAGCTTCGTGGTGACATCAACATTTGCATTGTCGGTGATCCATCCACGAGTAAGAGTCAATTCTTGAAGTGAGTTTCATACCGGCTATTGCATACTGCTTTGCATGCCATGCTTACACGAAACAGATATATTTGCTCGTTGCACCCTCGTGCAGTCTACACTAGTGGTAAAGCCTCGTCTGCCGCCGGTTTGACCGCATCTGTTGTCAAGGACGCTGAGACAGGCGAGTTCACGATTGAAGCTGGTGCCTTGATGTTGGCTGTAGGTAACCTGATCCATCTGGTTGGCATTCGAAACTGACGTATCGTGATCTAGAATGGAGGTGGTATTTGCTGTATCGACGAGTTCGATAAGATGGACATCAGCGACCAGGTCGCCATTCACGAAGCCATGGAACAACAAACAATTTCCATTGCAAAGGCAGGAATCCACACCACCCTTAATGCTCGGGCTTCGATTCTTGCTGCCGCCAACCCCATCGGCGGCCGATACAACCCCAAGACTACGCTACGCGGCAACCTTAACTTCAGTGCTCCCATTATGAGTCGATTTGATCTGTTCTTCGTGATCCGTGATGATCCCAATGAAACAGTGGATCGCAATTTGGCTGATCACATTGTCAATGTCCACATGAACCGCGACGAAGCTGTTCATCCCGAGCTCAGCACTGAGCAATTACTACGCTACATTCGATTCGCCCGTACCTTTAAGCCTGTTTTCACGGAGGAGGCCAAGGCTTACCTGGTCGAAAAGTATAAGGAGCTTCGTGCTGGCGATGCTCAAGGTGGCATGGGCCGCTCTTCATACCGCATCACGGTTCGACAGCTGGAATCTCTGATCCGTCTTTCTGAAGCCGTTGCCAAAGCCAACTGTGTGGAAGAGATTATACCCAAGTTTGTGCGCGAGGCGTACGACCTTCTCCGACAGAGCATTGTGACAGTCGAGAAAGATGATGTCGAAGTCGACGATGATGAACCCGCAGCAGCGGAGGGTCGTGCTGCTGAGGAGGATCATGAGATGGGCGATCGTGACCGTGATGGAGACAGCCCTATGCGCGAAGATGCCGAAACTGCCCAGCCCAAACGCTCAAGGACGAAGATCACATATGACAAGTACATGAAGATCCTGAACCTCATGGTCCGTCGTGTAAGGGACGATGAAGCGAACTCTGGTGAGGGTGTCGAGCAAGAGGATCTTCTCATCTGGTATCTGGAGCAGATTGAGTCCGAGATTGACACAGAGGACGATCTCCAGAATGAGCGTGACTTGGCTGTGAAGGTCCTGAAGCGAATGATCAAGGTATGTGCAATCATATCGCTGTCACTTTTACTTGATCCCATTGCTAATCTCAATTACTCCCTGTAGGATAACATTCTGATGCCCATTCGCGGGCAAGGCCTTGTGGATGCCGATGATGAAGGGCAAAGCGAGCAAGTTCAACGCACTGTCTACGTGATGCATCCCAACTGCGCCATTGATGAGATGTAATGTCTGTTTAGTGTTTCCGTTTAGAAAAGGAAACGCTGAGCAATGATTGAAATGGGTCTGATAAAGGAGCTGGTGGTTATGAGTGATGATATCCCTGTTTGACTTTGATTTGATATTGACCTTACGCATGATTTATCGGTGAAGTATATGTCTATAGAAGTGAGGTCTGGAGTGCATTGGTTTTAGGCATATCTTCTAATCTCATATATGACGCTTCATGATCTGTCAGATTTTTCATCTTTTTTTTTTTGACTGTATGCGAGCTTGCATGTAGCATCCCGATACAACTCTTCACCCGGTTTCACTTAGTATGGCTGCTGTATGAGCAGTCTCACATACTTCTACCTTACTGCTCTAACCCTCGTCACCTTCCTTCCATACTCGGCCACGTGAACCTGAGCTGGTGTTCCTCGCTTTGCTCTCTCCTGCTCTCTCTTCCTGGTTACTCTAGTTTATCTACGCGATCGTATGGCAAAGACTGCGATCTTTCTATCGATCTCTCATCTCTGAGGTGTGCCCGAGCTCATGCTTCCTTCCTCTCATCTCTCTCGGCTGTGTCATCTTCCTCATCTTCTGTTCACCTTCCTCTCGCCTCTGATCTTCTTTCCTTTCGCCTCATTTGCCTCTCTCTTGCTTCTTCCGCCTTTGTATAAGCTCCCTCTTCCCTGCCCTGTTCTTCTTCCCTCTTCCGCCTTCCTTCTTCTTTCTCTATATAAACCCTCTTCTCTCCCTCTGCCCTCCCTCTTCCCTTCTCACTCCTCTCCTCTTCTCTCTCCTCTAGCCAAAGCTCTCGTAAATCCTTGTTCGACCCCCTCTCTCTTACTATCATCTATTTTCTATAACATCCACAACCAGCTTTCTCGAAACGGAAAGCCTCCGTACGCCATCGGCGAATCAAGCAAAGATGGAAGGCTCTAGCGAGGAACTGGAACCACCTAAGATCACGCAGGAAGCAGTAGCAGGCTCTGAAGAAGTTCAAGAGCCCGGTAAGCAAGGACCTTCTCTCCAATCCGAAAGCTTCGATCCCCAACAGATTCTGTTGGAGGCAATTGATCGCCGTAGGCAACAGTACAACCCCAGACAGGCTTTTTTCCTTTCTAATTTGGGATTTGATATCCACAATCGTAAGGCCTCCCAAGGTTTGCAGTCACCTTCGCAAAATGATACTGACTTCTTGCTAGCAGTCCGGCATACAGGAAACTCGCCATCTGAATTTCTTTTTGTACCAAACGATCAGGTAACCGCTGCGCAAACAGGATTTGATGAAAGTCTATTTGTGCCGCAGGAAGAATATTCGTCATTGTATCTTCCACCTTCGGGTCCAGATGTGCCTCCGATGTCTCCAGATGATCAAAATATTCTCGAACTACTTCAGAGTGACACAAGTCCACCTGTTCAACAGCTTTCGCAGGTTGCACCTCACTCGAGCGCCAGTGCTTCACAAACAGGAAATGCAGGCACAGCAGCTGCACCTGCCGATGATGAGGAAGACCCAAGGCTGTCCGTACCGTCATGTGTCGACTTATTATCATCCTCATCTTCGACTTCCGGGAACACTGACGTTCCGGTAGAAGACTTCCCGGATGACACTGGAGACCAAAGCTGCCCAACAGAATGGCCTGACGAGGAGCTTGAAGCTAGTACCAGGACTGACCTATCAAAGCGGCAGTAAGTGTATCTTATCATTATGTCCCAGACTGAGTCTAACTGATTGCCCTAGATTCAATTCTATCAAGAAATGGTTTGATAGTTTGGAGAAGCCATCTGTGGCAGATGAGATACGCTTGGAAAAAGCAAGGCAACAAGAATACGCTCGGAAGGAAAGGGTGGCAAGGAGAAAAGCCTTGGAAAATCAGAGTGAACTCTTTGACTCAGAGATTGACGAGCCTGATGAATCCACTTCACGACAGGAACCTGTCGTGAAAAGGACTGAAAGCTCTCATGATGTCCCTGTCAAGCGACAGCCGAAACAGCGACGACAAAACAGGATTTCAGCAGACGAAAAGCGAAAGAGCAAGGAACTCGGTCTTGCTGTTGTTCTTGCGCGCCAGAAGAAGAGGGAGATGTCGAAGAGAGCACCCCGTAAACGCAAAGATAGAGGGTTCGACAACGGAATCCCTGGCCCCAGTAAAAGGCCGAAGCGAGGGCCCCTGGGTACCAAAAAATACCTAGAATACCTCCTTTCTTCTGGAGTCGTGGAAGATGCACATGTCAACGCTTCACTGGATGCGATACCTGCTTCTATTGACAAGAATAAGATGAAAGCACTCAAACGACTTGTCGCTACTATTCCGAGTGTGGATCAGAAGGAGGCTAAATCTGACAAGAAAAAAATTCTTGAAGCTACTCGCAAGTTCACATGCAGTCCGAGAAGCGATGGAAAACTCGGGTGGAACATCAAGGGAATGAAAACAAGTTTATATCACTATCAGGTTTGTGTGTATATGCCCATTATTACTATTATACTAGCTGACAGGTATGAAAAGCTACTTGGGGCTGCTTTTATGGTAAGGAGAATATACATCGAGATCTTGGAATGACTTGCGGCTAAGATTAGAACAGCGTGACCGCGAAAATTCGTCAGAGGGACCCTTCGGGGGACTCCTCTGTGATATCATGGGTTTCGGGAAAACTATTCAAGCACTGGGTGAGTGCATGTGGAAAGAAAAAGTGGCACAGCTAATCTGGGTCTAGCAAATATCGTAGATGGAAAACCTTTTGATCCGGAGGATCCTGAGAAGACTACGCTCATTGTTGTTCCATCGCACCTAGTCACTCACTGGTAATTTTGGTCAATGCTATGTACCCAACTTGCAGTCTGACTTGAACAGGAAAACACAGATCAACAGGCACTGCGACGAGAAAGCAATTGGTGATGTCCTTATATACAAAGCTAGTTCAAGGCTTGAGTCCCTCAATACAGTAGGAAGCCTCGCGAAATATGATGTTATGTACGGATACTATGCAGCTCTTTCAATATCAAGGTGGTATACTGACGCAGTCATCAGAATCACTACGTATGATGAGGTCAGGCGGTCTTATCCACCAATGAAGCTCACCGATAGTATTAAGGACGATGAGAAGCTTTCAGCCTGGTGGGATCAATCCTTCGATACAGAGACCGGCCCGTTACATAAAATCAAGTTCCACCGAATCATTCTTGATGGTATGCTGTCTCCCTCCCGCTCACTCTTACCTTTTGGCATCAATCGCGAGTCTAGGTTTGACGCCCAATTTGCAGAAGGCCACACCATCAAGAATCACATATCCTCAGTGTCGATCGCCGTCCGCTCTCTGACTGGCCACTATAAGTGGATTCTAAGCGGAACCCCAGTGCACAAGTAGGCTCGCACCTGATGCCCAGCTGCTGACTGGCGTTTAATATTTTGTGGTTTCTGACATAGTATTCATAGCCATCTAGAAGAATTCTATCCGCTTTTCGACTTTCTCGGCGTTCCCGGCATCAAAGATGCTGGAGTTTTCATAAAGAACTTTTGCAGCGTGCGTGACTTTCCATTGATCTTCAGAGTCGAAAACTAAAGCTAATCCTTCTGTAGGATGACGAAGGCCATGACCGCCTCGTAAACCTATTGCGAGCTTTTTTGTTTCGGCGAACACACAAAAGTCGACTTTTCTCACTGCCAGTAATTAAACTACCCGATGTCAACGAAAGAATCGTCAGGGTCCAATTCTGCGCCGTCGAACGAGAGCTTTACAACGCCATATCAGAGGTCTTCATAGAAAACATCAATGGTACGCCAGAGACATATTTTGCCATATCAAGAGTTTCAGGAGAAAATCGCTGACATTAAATCAGGTTGTGCCCATTTCGATCAGCCCAAGTTAGCACAGTATCGATGCTTTCTATCAATGATTTTGATGCTTCGTATGTTCTGCAGTCATTTGCTTACAACGCAGTGCATAGTTAAGAGGCTACTCTCAGAAGGGAACTTAATGAAAAGACTTTCCAAAATCGCCAAGGGAAGCGGGGAATCAAATCCGTCATATACTATAGTCCAATGGCTCTCAACAGTGAGAAAAAACACGACAGTTCTTAATGAGCGTAATGATGGAGACACAGGCCAGTATGCCACAGAGCTTCATGGGGATGAGACAGCATTGACGAAAAATTTCCGCCAACTAATGGACGAGCTTCATTTGAGAGAAATTTGGGAAGAAAGACTAGAAAGGACAAATTGCCCCGTCTGCAAATCTGCACCAGTGAACCCCCTGATAACTTCATGCAGGCATTTATATTGTGAGGAGTGCTACTACTCCTTACGGATGGACAAGGACAACATGCTTATGGAGCCTAAATGCGTCAACTGCCGTGTTTTGATTACGGAAGCCGCTTATTTTAAGGAAGAGGGTAACGAAAAGACACAAGGCGCATGGATTCACGGGGTAACTATCAGGAAGGAAAAGCAGCGCCAAAAGAGAACCACAACCAAGAAACAATCTAGGAGCAGCATTCGCCAGATCACGGCGCCACGAGCAGACGAAACGGATGAAGAGCCGGACGCCGACGAGGATACGGACTGGATTAGAGCGTGTGCCCAGCATATGCCGAGTGCGAAACTCACGAAGATACGCGAGATTCTTACAGAGTGGCTTGCTCAGGAATCCTCGGGCAAGATAGTCATCTTTACCCAGTTTCTAGATTTCGTTGAAATCCTGTCTACCATGTGCGAAGCAGAAGGGTGGCCGTTTGTCCTCGTGAGCAAATAATACCTCAAATATACTCAAGACCCAGGGTGGCTAACTTTCCACAGTTGACTGGAAAATTGGGTCTATCAGTCCGCGAAAACAATATGAAGACGTTTAGTGATAAGAATAGCGAAGTGAGGATTCTTATTGCCAGTTTGAAGGCTGGAGGCATCGGACTAGACCTATCAGCCGCCAACAAATGCATTCTTGTTGACTTGTGGTGGAACGAAGCTATTCAGGAGCAGGTAGGTATACTTCTGTCCAGTCATATTGCCTAATAGGATTTTGGTGCAGCTGTTAACGCTCTGGAGTTTAGGCATTTTGCCGCTTGTTTCGAATTGGGCAAGAAAGCGAGGTGGAATTTGTGAAGCTTATCGTCGATAATTCTATTGATGACTACCTGCTCAATTTGCAGACGCATAAGACGGCTGTTATAACCGGAGCTATGGGCGACGGAGTCCTAGCGGGAAGGGATACAATTGAGGATCTCCTTCGAATGTTCGCAGATGTCGAAAAGGACTCTAGAGGGGTACTTCATCTCAGGGCCAAGACAGCGTCGAGGGATATCAGGATTGGGGCTGGATTCCGACCATCTTTTGGCGTCTTTTGAAATCCATTCTGATAAGCACTATGTGCTACAGATTTGATGACAGTTCTCTCCGTTTTGCATGCTGCTTTGATTCATGGAGTTGCTCAATTCATGCCCGCAAATATGAACGAGGGGAGACCGCCGTACTCGGAAGTTCTGGTTGTTTCGCTTTTTATTTGAAATCAGTCTCGTTTTGCGATTTAGTTGGGTCTGCCATAGCAGTGGCTATTTTTTGCAATGGTTTCAGTGATATTGATATTTACGAGCGCGGCCAGGAAAGCCCATTTCCTTTTTAGTTGCTCTAGTTTTAAGAGGAAATACATTACTATTTGAGGTTTTCACACTTCCCGATCAAGATACTATACACTCACAGTTCAATGAAATACCGAAGCAGGCAAGATCATAACCCCGAGTAACCCAGCACGCAACAAACTTGGCCACCTTACTTCAACCCTCATCCATTGCATAGACCTACAACCTTCTCGGCCCGCGCCTTCCACGCCCAGCAACACCACCAGCACCATCACCCTGCACCCCCTCCCCAAGCATCCTCGGCACCAGCACATTACTACTATTCAACGCCACCGACCCCCTATCCTGAGAGCCCAACACCCGCGACTGCCATCTCAAACGATGATACCTCCTCCTCCTCCGATTCGCATAATCATGCACCCCCAGACCCAAATCATCAGGATCCACCTCCGTATCAGCATACTCTGACTCCGACTCCACTCTCCAAGTAGGAACCCCGGAACCCCATCTTCCACTTTCACCTCCACCTCCACCACCACCAGCAGCAGGACTACCTTCATCATAATCGAGTCTCATCTCATCCTCATCAGCATCAGCATCATAATGATCATGAAATGAACGATCAACAACCTGCGAAAAACTCTCAGCCTCAGTCTCAGTGATCATTCCCACCGGATCGTGGAGGGTCCCAGCAACAATATTACTATTGATGTTTTCTTTATCTGAGTCCCAGTCTTGGTTATAGGCACGTACTTCTTGGTTATCATTATGATGATGGTTGTTGTTGTTGTTGGTGTAGGGATAATGAAGGTACCCGGGTAGCATTGAAGCTACTCGGTTTGGGCGTGGAGAGAAGGATAGTAGACCCCCTCTGTCTGGGATGATGATGTCTTCGAAGATGGTGAAGTCGGGATTGCTGCTGTTGTTATTGTGGTTGTTGTTGTTGTTGCTAGGTCTGGTTCTGGGGGTGGGGATGGGGTAAGAAATGGGAATGGGGGTGAAGTTGTTGTTGCTGTCGAGGCCGATGAGGCTGCTAGTTAGGCAGCCGCTTTGGGTTGGGATGGTTGGTTGTGGTGTTGTCTCCTGGGCTGTGGGTGTCTGGTGGTGATGAGAGGGGTGGTGAGAATGATGCTGTTCATATCTCGCCAGAAACAGGGAACGGGTTATTCATTGTGGGGGGACTTACTACCATTTGTCCTTCTTTTCCTTCTCCAATTCCGTTATGATCTCCATGTTGAGAATTATGGTGATCGTCACCGTCGACATCCATGTCCATGTCCATGTCCATGTCCTCATCAATAGCAGCAGCAGCAACAACAGATGGATGCTGTAAGGGCGTATACTGCTGTTGCTGCTGATAAGTCGAGCTCACATCCATAGCATCCCTAAACGCTCTATCATGCGCCTCGTTCTCCAAGGCCCGCACCGCAAGCATCCGGTACTCGTTTATGCGGAGGGCATCTTCCTGGTCTTCAATTTCTCTGTTCAAGGCTTCTTCAAACCGCTCAGCTTGTCTCGTGAATGGGGAGGGGAGACGAGGGCGTTTGAAGGGTTGGTAGCTGTTTTCTTCATTGTTGGTTGCGTTGGGGGTGAGGTTGTTGAGAGAGCCTGTGGAGGTATGATTGTTGGAGGAGTCGTTGTCGTTATCATCACAGGCTGCTCTTCTTTTACGAGTGGTGGTTTTGTTCATGGCGGTTGTGGTCTGGATAGGTTGGGGATATGGACGGTAATCAGATGATTTTCAGTGATGGGGAATGAGAAATGGTGGGTTGTTGGATCTGGATTGGTAAGGAGCTGTACTTACACTTGTATCTTGGTTCATGTTGTCGTCGATGGTTTTGGTCATCGTAATGGGATGGAGATCAGCTTTATGTGGATGGGTTTGGATGGGCTGTGTGGGGATGGAAGGTTAGCGAAGGCTGGTTGTCTTGTAGGACAAGCTGTCAGAGTGGTGCTTGATATGAGGATATTAGAATGGGTTATTCACGCGTTGGGGCGTGCCATCATCGTAGTTATCATCAATTGGGTATAGAAGACTGCTCCTCATAGAAGAATACTCACCTGGGGTCTGAGATGATGTATCGTATCTTGATGCAGATGAGTTGAAGTAGAAGCTCGGCGGTCAGAGTCAGAGTAGGCGAATCCTCAAGCAGATGTGAGGGGATAAAGTAGGAAGAAGAAGTATGAGTAGGAAAGGGAAGCGAGATGGCTTAAAGCAATCGTGGGCAGCGCGGAGTCCACCGGTCATTCACTACAGCTACTTCGCCTCAGGCACCTGTGCCAAATATAGCCTACACACATCTACAGATTAAGCACAGTTCAAGCAATAGGTTTCATTGAAGCCATCATGTCAGCTAGTGATTCAGGTCTGCAATATAATGGCTTTAGATCACATCTCAGAGATCTGCAATCTGCCTATTGCTTTCCTTTATGTAATCCCCCAGGGTTGTTATACATCCAGACACAAACGAGTCCGGCTGTGATACAGTCTCCTCATCAGTCCCAAGCCTCAGCAGGTGGCTAGGTCTCTCCTGAACTCCATCAAACTAGCCCTTTGTCATGCACCAAATACACACACATAGATAAATCAGATACAAGAAGATTAGAAGGGTGCATTGTTCTGGCGTAACAAAGACATAAGTATGAGAAGATCAAGGACATATCTCATATGGTGTTTGCACATTCTCCTTGAATTCGTCTCCCTAGGACACTGTACGAACCACCCCGGACTTCGCGCAACCTCTACCGGAACTGTCCAGGCCCGAGCATGCCGCGCGGGGCCTCGCCACCAACTTGGCCGAACATATCCAACAGGTGCCTGGAAGCGGGGGGAGGCACTTGAGGTCCAGGATTGCCCTCAAAAGGACCTTGGCCACGGTGGGGAAGCCCCATGAGAGCATCACCGTTGGGCGGCATGGGTGGGAAACCGGCTGGCGGGGGTCCGTTCATGTATCCGGGAGGAGGCATCATGCCTGGAGGGGGAGGACGCGGGAATGGTTCACGCTCATTGAGGGGCGGTGCATTCGCATGCATGGGCATCATGTTCGACATGTAACTTGGGTTGACGCCGCGTGTAGGTGTCGGAATACCCGGAGGAGGTGCCAAAGGCGCGGGTCCAGCAGCTTGCTGCGGGGGCATCTGAGGTCCTGGCCATCCAGGAGGAGGCAAATGCTCGAAGCCTGGAGGTCTCTGCATGCCCATAGCAGGATGGCCTTGAGCCTGGGGAGCTCTGCTTCCGCCGGGCGTCATAGGAAGTTGTCCGCCCTGAGGGAACGGCATATCTTCGAAATATCCCATGGGGGGCCCATTTGCGGGCCGGCGACGAAGATGCTCAGCATCGGGTCTTTGCATGTTTGCTATCGCAGGGTCATCCAAGAAGTTGGGGCCCTTTTGCGGGGTCGGAATGCCTGGAGGGGGAGAAAGCACTTCCGGCATGCTCAACAAACCGGGGGCCGGGCCGACAGGACCAGCACTTTGGGGCTGGCTCTGGGCACCCTGGTTGGCAACGGGACTAACACGGACCTGCTGCATCAGTCGCAGTAGATGTTCCCGGTCTCGAGCATGTGTCTCCTGGACATAAGGGTTAGGACCAGGGCCACGAGCAACTGTCTCTTGCATGGCGAAGTACTCCTGCCGCTTGAGTTGATCTCGAGCAGGAGATGAAACAGCACTCCGGATCTGTTCGGCCTGTACCTGCGAAGGAGGCCGGTTGTACGCAACAGGGTCATTGTGAGGTGTCGCGTTGCGCGATTTTCCTCCACCAAGCATCTGCAGGATGCGCTGGAAACCTTCCTGATCGGCATCAGTGTTGACGGTGTTCATCGAAGGCGACGACCTGGTCTCTGGATGAGTTTCGGGTTCCTTGGCCGGACTTCCCGGTGGTGGCGAGAATAGTCCAGCAAAGCGCGACGACTTTCCAAGCTTTCCTGGGAGTGGCTCTTTCTTCATTGTTGGTTCCATCATGGGGGGAGGAGGAGGAGGAGCGCTTATCTCCTGGGATAGTGGAGGCGCCTGGGGTGGCTTGGAGTCCCCAAGCAATCCAAAGAACCGCTCCATGGCCGAATCGGACGTGAACGGAGCGCCATTGCTGCTGAAAATCTCGCCATCTGTAGGCCTAGGCTCTGGCTTCGGCGCGGGAGCAGGAGCAGGAGTCGTCTCCAAGGGGACCTCCTTTTCTTCGGCTTGAACCTGCGAGGAGCCCGCCTTCATCCTTTCCTTCCAGCGTTCAAAGTCTTCTTGTGTATGCACTCGGCGAGGCTCATCTCGATCAGTCGAATCCATCCACTCGGGATCCTGTTCGAACTTGGCTCCCCGCGTCCAGTCACGATCTGCACCGTGCCGATCTCGACGCCATTCCCTGTTTCGTATCGGAGTCTTCTCCTCCTCCGCATCAGGCGCGTCGTGGGTATTCTCCTCACGAAACCAACTTCCCTCGTGTCTCGCACGTCCGGGCGTGCCGTCCTTCCGTGGGAAGAATCGTGCATCCTTATCTTTAACTCCACGGTCATTGTTGGGTTCTCGCTGGTCGCGGTTCTCCCACCGATCGAACTCTCCGTTGCGTCTCGGCTTTCGATCCTGTTCCTCGGGACCGAAGGTACGGCGGGGGCGTCCACTGTTCCAGTCCTCCCTGTCCCCACGCCGGTTGTTGTTGTTGTTGTTGTTGAATGTTCCTAATTTTCCATCTCGTCGGTCAAAATCTCTGTCACCAGACTCCCGGTCCTTGAAGAACTTCTCCCGTAAATTGAACCGGTCGTTCTTCGAGTCATCCT